GCCCGTGAGTGACGAGACGAAGCCGATGATACCCGATTTTAAGGTCCTTGGTCATTGGTTGACCTTCCAGGGCGGTGTTTCACGGTCGTGCTGACAGCCGCTGACAGCGCATTCCGCGAGCTAAGGTCAGCCTTCGGTAGTGTTGTGGGTATAGGCTTGTTGATGTCTCCATTGAAACCAAAAGTGCCATCAGCGCTGGCAGCGGCTGGCAGCGTGCCCTGAAACACCGCCCAGGTCAGGTCACAGACCCAAAAGACGGGAAAATCAGGACCTGTCAGAACCTCCTAAAGTAAGGCTGTAATACGTTTTTTTTGTGCTGATCACAAATTTCATGTTAGTTCGGATCATAGATAATGTCTTCATGCGTTTAGACCATGTCGGGGCAGGTCAGGTCAGATCAACCAGTAGGGGTACTTATGGGCGTCCGTATAGCAGGTGTCCACTACCACTGGCAGCTACGTAACATGATACGAAGGCATCAAAACTACTTCGTAAATGTTCAAATGGCTGCAAAATGCTAAATTCAAAATCAGCTAAACGAAACTATCCTAGAAACATGTTAAACTCGGAAAAGTGCACCGAGGTCATCAAAGGTCAATGACCTGACTTGACCGTAAGGTGACATTGGCATCCGCCCTAATGCGTGGGAGCAACATCATATCACATGTTTGAGCGTTTTAAACCACGAAAAGACTATAAAAGCGCGGATAATGTGAGCCGACATACGCCGAATCGCTATTCCGGCCAAACATGGCCTCCAACATGGCCAAACAGTCTCGAGAAATAGGCCAAAAGTCAAAGTTCACTTGGGTCAGGGTCATGAAATTTTCAGACTTTGTCACCATGAGGGTAACTAAAGTTTCGTCGCGATCGGCTTCATGATACCTTACACGATAACTTCACACGTCGATCGAGAGTTAAAGCATGGATGAAGGAGAACCAGGGGATGAAGGTTCTTTCATCCATGGTTAAAGTGTGCAATAAGAACTTCTTGGGTGAAGACAAGACCAACACTTTTATCAAGCTCACAGATTTTTAATGATACGGTATTTTCTCTCTACCTACTACGCCCTTCTCACATTCATTTTTCTTAAGTGTTTTTGGGGACAAAAAATATATGTTGTTCCCCTTTCAGGCTTGGGGGCATGACCCCGTGGCCCCCCTGGATCCGCTAGGCCGAAACTAACTAGGTCGTTTTCAAACGGTCTGATATTTCAGGTCATAGTTTGCAAACGGCCGGTGTTTTCAGGTAGTTTCATATGGCCTGACTGGGCCAGGCCGTTTGCAAACGGACCGAATTTTCATACGGCCTGTAACATATATTCAGATTTCGACATCTGTCGTAGCATCAAATGCTGATGTGGCGCACTCAAAAGCCGGAATTGGTCCTTGGATGCCGTAAGGACCCTTTTAAGAAATAAGTGACCCGACTGACCCTTAGAGATTGGCCTGAGCTGTGACCGAAATAAGTCTTTTACCGTTTCGCAGGAAGGGACAAAAAGGTCCCTCATATGCTTCTTGTACAATTACGAAACAAAACAAGTTTTTTTTTCAACGAAAACTCAGTGAGTTTTCCTAAAAAATTTATTGCGCATATTCCGTGAATGAAAAGTTGCCGGGTCATGTCAGGTCAGGCTGCCACAGCAAGTTTGTTAACTTGACAGCTCAATCGATATTTATGCAATAAGACCTTCTCGGGTGACGATAAGACATGACGACACTTTATGAAGGAAGCTAGTAAACCCGGTAGTTTCTCCATAGGCGCGGGAACCGGGGGGAGGGGGCAGTGGTGGCAGCTTGCCCCCCCCCCCCCCAACTCTGGGGCCGTGCGGGCGGTGCCCCCACAACTTTCAGACAGAATACCGCTCCTTTTTGCAAATGTTTTCTTTTTTTGTTGAAAAAGCCAAGGGATGAAAAATAAGTGGCCTAAAACCGGCGAGAAAACTATATTTGGGGGATCCTAGGTTGATCTCTATCATGGTGTGACCTCCCCCCCCCCCCCGTCTAAAAGTAGTTCCCGCGCCCCTGGGTTTCTCTACGCTATTGAATCACGTTGCTGATTCTAGTAAGTATCTACTACACAACCTTCTCACATTAATTTTTCTTCGAGCGTTTTGGGGGGCCAAAAGATATGTTGGCCCCCTCTTTCAGGCAGGTGGCCCCCTTGAATCCGCCAGTGGGGGCGGTGCCCCCACAACTTTCAAACGGAATACCGTCCTTTTTTGCAACTGTTTCTTTTTTTTTGTTGAAAAAGCCAAGGGATGAAAAATAAGTGGCCTAAAACCGGTGAGAAAACTAGATTTGGGGGGACCCTAGGTTGATCTCTATTATGGTGTGCTCCCCCAGTCTGAAAGTAGTTCCCGCGCCCCTGACTTTCTCTACGCTATTGAATCACGCTGCTGATTCTAGTAGGTATCTACTACGCAACCTTCTCACATTAATTTTTCTCCAAGCGTTTTTGGGGGGGGGCCAAAAGATATGTTGGCCCCCCCTTTCAGGCTTTTGGGGGGGCCATGGCCCCGGTGCCCCCCCCCCCCTGGATCCGCCAGTGGATGACAGGGAAGAGATGAATGGGGTGACGTGGCCCAGTTGTCTTTGTTTCTTTTTGCCGTGATGAATTCATATCCGTTGACGTCATTTTGGTGATATCTAGACGTTTTGTGGCCAGTAGCTTTAGCTACAGATCTGGCGCTTCATACCATAACGTAATGGCAAGGTGATGAAGTCATAACATCTTAACGGCAATCCATCTTCTGTTATGAGAAACACGCCATTCGGTAAGCGTAAATAAGCTGTAGATCATGCAGATTGTCGCTAGTTACGGCCGAGGCCGGAAATGAGCGCCTGCTAATTGCTGCGGCGCTCCATGTAAGCGGCGCTATTTTTGCGGATGTGATCAGACGGCACAATTACGCCCAGAATGAATTGCCGCCGCGCCCGAGCGCGGTGGGGCCGGCGAGCCGCGCTCCACCGTGGGTGGCGGCGCCGGCGCATGATGAACGACGGCGATGATGGCCGACGATTCCGCGGAAGTGGTCCGGATTGAGGGACGCTCGGCGCACTGTCGGCAGTGAACCCAAGAGGCGAGAAGTCAGTGAGGTCGGTGCCGGTGAATCGAGTGGTGGGTTGTTGGGGGTACAGGTTGAGGCGGCATCGTGATGGGGTGTTGTAGTGTTCTTCTCACGATTATGAGGATAGAGAACTCTTGTATCGTAACAAAGGATACCACAACGACGTTTAAGTTTATGCCATCAGATAGCGTATGCGGAATCGTGGGTGTAATGCCACTTCACACAGCATCATTTCACGCTGCCTGTGCGGTAACCTTTCAACGTCAGCCGGATCACATTAAAGCGCGGCCCGCCCTCTCGCATTCCGAGCTGCATTCACGCTGCCAGCTACCACACCTGATATTTCCTGTTGCCTGTTACCTGATGTTTCCTGTTACCCCACACGGACGGCCAACTTTCCGCACTGTCTCTGGCAGTCGGCCAGTAGCGGACGGTGCTCCCCGACGATATAATGTCGCCTCGATGAACGAACGGCGGCCGTGGCTCTTTCAAAACTCGTCATCGTTTTGTTCATCTTTGCCTTGCTACGGGTTATGGTGGTATGCCGGGGGTTGGCGCAGCCTACCGCGGGCAGGCGGGGCGCGCGTGACGGCATGCGTTCTTTGAGCAAAGTAGTACTTCTGCAAGCGTGCCAGAATTGCTGGTTGTGCGTCAGAATAGTCGGACACGCGTCAAAATTACAACACTGCACTAGATTCGCCATGCCAGTTAAACACGCACTCTTTGTGCTCGACATGCCTCCAGGATTCAGCCGTCCGTTTCCTCGTATGCGTTGCTGCTTCCGCGTATTTCAGAAATACTGCCGCGTTGCGTCGTTGCCGTCGCCGACGCGCCGGCACTCGTCGCACCTGCTCCGTCGCTGCCGACGTCGAAGGGGCGGGCGCTGTGCAATCGATACACAGCTCGGTGTTGTGACGCCCGGCCGGCTGATTTACGCTTCCTTCCGTGGTGCGTCCTCTCCCCCAACGAGCGGCTTAATCGCCGGCACAAAATACGCGGCGGTGATATTTTCCCCCGTCGGACGGCTAATTTCTCCGTTGTTTGTGTGTTTGTTTATCGTTCCGTGGTGTTTTGGCGTTTGGCCCTCAGACACCAGCGGATGTTGCAAGGCGTGAAAGGAAAACGATGTTTGTTTTCGATGAATGGTTGCCGTTGGGATGTTGTCTATTGTTTTGTGTTAAAGTTAGCGTCTGCTGGAATATGTCAGCTGAACGTTCTTGAAAAGGCTCAAATGGATGGACGGACATTGTATGACTTTTTCATAGCCAGGTTCAAAGAATGCTGTAAAGTGCACACGGTACCGTGACCTCCTTTGTTATTCAATTCGATGGTCTTTGCAGGCTTCTCAGTGAATACGATGATCAATTTAAACCATCAGCTCTCTTCAGTCCATCTGTTGGGTTATCAAACCTTTTCCTAGCGAACAATGCTGTCTAAAGTAGTTATTGGAGAAGCATCTGGCGTTGCCATAGCAATACGAGTGTGCTCATTCCAAATCAAGGATGTTGTTAAATAGAGACCGATTGGTGACTTTTTTGTTGTGGAGCTCAGGCTGACGACCGACCACCCTTGCCAACAATGTTGCTAGCAACGGATGGCTACCATCGTTGCAAATGAAGTAGGCATTAGGATAGCTGAAAGTGTCACCGAACAGGGTCTACGTGCATTGTTCATTTGTCCTGGTGCTCGTCTTTAAATAATGCACAGTTTTTGCAATGTGCCGCTTTGTTGTTGTATACCTAAACACCTGTGACCGTTCCACGGCCGTCACGCCACTGCAATCAGGCCATCTTAAAACACCGAGTGTCCTCACTGCCAAAGTGGAATGTGTGATTCTCTGTCGCCTGGGCTCGTGATTTCCTACCGATGGACGTTTCGGGTGGTGGATTTTTTTCCCGTTACTGACGGTGTTCTGTTTGTTTGTTTCAGAGCATGTGAAGGAGCTGTCATGCGGCAAGTTCTACTATCGCACTTTCTATCTGGACGAACGGCGAGATGTGCTTTACGTGGGCGCCATGTAAGTAGATGATCTACAACACGAAATTCACTCAGACGATCCACAACACTAGACAGGTTTCACGTTGGGCCATCGACGGCTGAGCCTTGCCTTCCGGTGCTAAGGTTTGGCTCATTGTTGATCAAGAACATGAAGCGAGAGCTACGCGCGCTATTTCCGTGCTATCATGTTGCCGAGCTAAAATGCGCCTGTAAATCTCCATTCCCATATGTACATACCAGTACATTTATATTCCACAATCAATATTCCACTGTCGCGTGGTCAGTCTCGCCTTCTCCTCTTCTGACCCGTCACCCCAGACATTCCTCCCGCGGCTCCTTCTCTTCACTTACCCAGCGCGTCTCCCGAGGTTACTCTGCCCAGCCCTCCGCGTCGGCGGCCATCCTGTCGTGCCGGGCAGCGGTCAGCCGGCCAATATTGTCGGTGACAGACCGAGTTAATGGATAAAACGCCGCGGCCAACACATGATGCGGGGCTTTTACGTCGCGCTGCTCGGTCCCAGAGAGTCGGCTAATGGCTGGGAGTGACGCGGGTGGGTTCAGTGGCATCAGAGGTGGGTCCCGGCAGATACCGCGTGGCAACGCGTGGTGGATGGTGGTCGGTGGACAGGGGGCAGCTGGGTGTCGACGGTGGGCAGTGTTGGTGGATGGTGAGCGGTGGAAAAGGGAAAGCGGACGGTGGATGGTGGACAGAGGGCAGCTTGTGGTGGATGGTGGGCGGAGTACGATAAAACAGGCAATAGTGGTAATGGGAAGAGGTCACCGACCGGTGGTCGGCTAGTGGACAGAGAAGAGTGAGCGGTGGACGAAGGTATGTGGATTGTGGAACGTAGTGGACGGTTGGGCCATTTGCCGAGTAGTGGACGGAAGCCAGTGGACAGGGTGGTGGTCAGCGTGCCGCTGTGTGGAAGGTAGTCTACGGACCTCGGTAGACGGAGGGGTGCCGGACGCCTGGGAAGTGAGATAGATCGGCACTGACCACCGCAGCAATGTCGGGGAGATGGGGTCTGTCGGGGTAAATGGTGGGATATGTCTGGGGGAATGGCGGCCTGCAGTGGGAGACACAGAGGAGGGGTTCTTACGGGAGGGTTGCGGCGGCGCCAGGTAGGGACGGGAGGCCCTGTCGGATCAGATGAGGCTCGCCTGGGAGCGGTGGCGGCCGCCAGAGATGGATTGTCGCATCACCGTCGGAGGGCAGGCTGGGGAGGGTGCCGGCTGCAATTACTGAGCTGGGATGCAGATGAGATGTACCCACGCGGCACGCCGCTGAGATATGGTGTTTCGGGGCGGAGGTTTTCTCGGCGCTGCCTCGTTGAGGTCTTGTGCCGGCAAAATGTATCATGTTTTCTGTGCGCCACATGTGTGACATGTAATTTATGGCGACTTTTATTGGATAAATCTGCCAGCCGGGATTTATTTGTACCAATTGATCGTGGTGTCTCTGCCGGCGCGTGGCTGCCCACCTGCCGTCCCGTGCCGGCAGAGCTGTGGTCTCTCTACCCATGACCTGAACCCAGAGTCCTCGTCGCCAGGAGTCGAGCGGTGGTAGCTACTGCCGCGCCCGTGCTCAGCGCCGATGACCTGTTGTCGAGCTTCGAGCCTCGGCCTGAGCCATGGGCTTGACCCTAACGGCGGTCGGGGCGGCCACCGCCGGCGCGGCCGCTCGTTATGAGAAGGGCGGCTCCAAGTATGCAGATGGGAGGGCGCGACTGCGACGGGGCGCCGCCGCGACGTCTTCGTCAGTGTGCGGCTCGCCGGCCGACCCGCCGTGCCGCCGTGATTTATCCCGCCCAACTGATTCTGGAATGAGTTTCATACGACCGTAAATCAGAATGGATCAGAAGATTATTGGAAGGCACCGGTGGCGGCGGAAAATGTATTTGATGGCGGAGGCGAATCGCGGAGAAACGAGGAGGGGAGGGAGTCGGACGATGACGCCACGAGCGGAAACCGACGGCTGCCGAAAAGGAAACGTCAGCTGATCGCTCAGAAAACGTCAGCTGATCGCTCACATTCCGGAGATATTTGAGAAGCGTGAAATAACTGACTGCTGATGACGAGACGTCCTAGCTTGTGAAAATTCCATCTGACTTGCTGACGAAAATTTATCGGCTTCTAGCGGACTGCTGCGGGTGATGTCCTCGGAAGCCAATTATCTTCGACACATGATCCGTTTTGTAGGAAATCTCCTGCCATAACTGCGGCCGGCATCCATCCCGCTATCTGACGGGCTGTCGCCGGGCCATTCAGCAATTTGTCGGACGAGCAGCTCACCAGTCCATTACAGCCGCCACGCCTCGCCACTTCATTGGGCCGGCGAGTTTTAATGCTCGTATATCGCGATATTATGACTTCATCGCCCGAGTTTCCTCGCCGGACGGAAATATTTCCCGGCTGGCGGGCGCGAGTCAGCCGCCTCCACGAGCCGTCGATGCCGATTTGAACTCTGTCATCCCTGACGGTCGGAAGTAACAGAAGGCTGCCGGAGACAGCTGAAGTGACGTCATCGTTGACGAGTTGGCACACGATCCGGTTTCCCAGAAGTGCGTGATCCATCGCCTAGGATCGACGCAGGCTGGGCGACCTAATAATGCTTCTTGTGGACGCTGTTGTGGTTCGGTCGTTACAAAATGCATGTCTGCCACTATGGTGCACCTTGCCGGTAGTTAGATTTTCGCAGTGCACTTCATCAACTAGGTCATCTGTGCGAGCATACGCCAAGACGTGTCCGCCAGTTCTATCCAGGAGCTCCAGTTACTGTCTACCAGGGTTAATTTTAATTTGACAGCGAGCTGCCAGCGCCGGTGACAGTTGGCGACAGCCGGCATTGCAATTTGTCTCGGGCAGCGCCGGTGAAGAGTGCTCCCGACACGACGCTGACGGCTCCACCTTCATCTGGCGGGGCCTGAGGACTCGCCAGATCCTGGCACTGCGCTATCTGATCCTCCCGTCCGTGTTGAAGAGACGCCGCGTGCGCCGGCCGGGCTCTGACACTCACCGGCGCGCCGCCGCCTCTGCTGCCTGCCTCGGGTGACACGCTCTTCGTCTTTCGGCGACGAGCTGTCGCCACCGATGGCACTAAGTGGCTTCACCCGTCACACCCGTCACCGGACCGTCACGGTGTCACAGGCGAGCGGCGGCGTCACGTCATGGCGCGCTGCGTCGCTCGGAAGACGTGCCGCTATGTCTGACCTCTATGCGATGCGAGGAATTCGTCTGGGCCTGTCTGCTGGACCGGCGCTTCCTCGGGCCGTATCAGACAGATGCCAGCCGGGCATTCACGCCAGTGGCAGTTTAGTGCACGGAGCGTGCAGCGTCGTCAGTCACCCGCGCCTTGTGAATTGTCCCCGAGCGGGTGCACGGCGTGTGCACGGTGCACGTGCCGTTACCGGCTGCACGATGCAGGCCAGGAGGCCAGGGCCGCTGCGGTATTGATCGGAATCTGACGTTCAAGGGATTCATAGAACGGTGGCAGTTTCGGCAGTCAAAGGCCCAAATCAGCGCTCAATGCAACTACGCCCGACAAATTGCCACCGCTGCAGTCTATTGAATAGCATACCAACTTGACCGACTTTGGTTATCATTCCTTCGAGGAAGGACTGGCTCCCTTAGCGCATACAAGTGCTACCCATGTCTCTAAGTACGAAACCCAAACCCATTTGCCTGACCTGCTGCACTGCCCGTTGTTTCTTTAGACAGGATGTCGGTGGCATCTCCTCCCCTGTTCCTGTCTGTCAGCCCCCACGCGGTATCACCCCGCGGACCGTGTCTCGCCGCTCGCGTCACGCGACCTCTTCATCCGCCGTCGTTGGCCAGATGAGAAGACGCCTTCTATCATCCCATTTTTCGGCGGTGGCGCCTCCCGGTCAGATTCCATTTCTCGCCTGAGCTCGCCGCCATGGCCCGTGACGCGGTGCGCCCAAACTGGCGCGCTATGGCGAATCTGGTGCGTCGCGCCGAATTGGCCGCCTCGCCCCGCACCATCGCCGACGCTGCGCCGGTGATGTAGTCGATGACAGCGGTTTCACTGACGTGGAAAACTGCGGCGGGATGTTTTTTACGCCACGTGCCCCGCGCACTGTAGCCACTAGCGCCGGCGGCGGCTGACCTGACCTATGGCCGTGCTGAATATCATGTCACTGGCTTCAGCGCCGGCGGCCTTTCCGCCCCGTTGACCAGCCGACCTCGGCTGGGGAGAAATCACCGCCGATTTATTTTCTGAATTAGTCTCGGCTGGGCATTACTCGTGGCTGAGATTCGTGGTAGCTGCCACCGGGAGCCCCCTTGGCGGGAAGGTCGGAAATCGTTCCCCGAGGGTCCCCGGGCCCCGCGGGGTCCCGAGCCAGTGACCGCAACTGTGCTGCCGACGGGCCGGCGGTGATATTTTATCTGGCTCAAGACTGTGCCTCTCCATCATCCTTTGTGAGACTGACCGAAACAGAGCCTGGGACTGACGACGATTGCAGCAGCGCCGGGTGTTCGTTCGGCGAGGCGCCATCCGTCTGTCGGCTGTTATTTTTCTCTGACGACGCAGCCATTTTTGACGAGCGGAAGCTTTCTTTACACACAGCTTCCGTCCAGATACTCTGGCTTGACAAACGAAAGAATCCGGCACCAAGCTGCCAGTATTTCCTATGCAAACGCTGGAAATGGCCTGGCCGGTCGTTTTGAGCGAGCTGAGGATTTATTTGACAGCTATAAGCCCACTCTGCAGTGATTTGGTGTCTGTTTTCAGTACACACGAGTCGTCTGCATAATTTCATCGCGTAGGAATATGGCCAATAATGTAGGCATTGGCTGTAGCCTCGCGCCATCATGTAACACTGGCATTTGGGCTGGACGCGATACTGACTGCTGCCGCCTGTTGAGGCCTGGCAGACGGACACGGACCATCAGGGCTGATCGATCATATGATCGATGCTCGGTCGTGCCTCGTGCGTTAGACCATCTACAGACGGCTAACATGCATTTCCCGTATTGCCTGCCGGGGCCCAGAGACCA